GTGAAAATGTTTTTGTATGCTCTCTCTGAGAAGTTAAAATAACAAACTTGCAAACAGTGATGATGTTTTTTTCATTTAGAGGTGGTAGAATTGGTTTATAAGAGAGCGTACGTTTATGTTGCCTTTACCTCCTGGATTACTTCCGTGGGGTTGCTCCCAAATACAGTGTGATCCAGCCTGCTTTTCAGTTTAGGCTTCAAGCGCAAAGCAGTTGAGTCAACCCCTCTCATCTCAGACTTTCCACTCTCAGTTCCTGCAGACAGAAGTTGTGTAGGACTTTGCTGTCTGTAAATATTCCCCAGGGCTTCTCCTGACCTCTGAGCTTCAGGAGTAACTCTTCCCTTGACTTCAATCCATATCAGAAGTGGTATAAAGGGCTGAAAATTAATTGTATGAGGATGAGATGCCAGTCTGGATGCTGCTGCTCTAGAAATAGAGATGAAGTATGATTAAAAATTAAACTTGTGCAATAACTGCAGTGAAACATAACCTTTGGTTTGCTGAGGGGGTTTGCTGTGCCTGATACTTCGAAGGGGGTGTGGTTTGTGGTTTTCTTGTTTGATGCTTTTTGTAGTGCTTTCAGTACAACCTTCTGCTGCAGAACGATAGTTGACAGAGAGCTGTCTTGAGTAATTGCAAGTGTTCTTATTGCTGCGAGTACTGTTGTCCCCTTTACTTTGGGGACCAGAACAAGGTTGGGAATGGTGTTTCATCTGCACTGCCTTTCCGGCATCTCCTGCAGCTTTGCTGAATCTTCTAGAGCGTGTTGAAATGTTGAGGGAACAGCTTTGTGCTCCGGATTGGGAACTTTTGAGCCGATGCTGTGCGGTTGTGCTAGGTGTATGCTAGTTGTAAACTCTTTCAACTCCGGCTTCTGTCCACCTAAGTGGTTTAAGTAAAGGAACAATTTTTTTAAAGAGCTGAAGTTATCTTGTTTAAGTAACCCATAACATTGTGCTGCAAAGGGTCTGGAGCAGTTGGTTTTATAGCCTGACTTCTGGGATAAGCAGAAATTTCAGATTTTTTCTGGGCTTTTTGTGGGAACTTCCTGCCGAATTTGCCCTTCACAGTTGAGGTGTTTTATAGCGTCAGCTTCTGACATCAAAATACACTTATAGGTGCAGTTGGCACTAATTAAAAGGATAATTACAACTCATTTTCATTTCAGCTTTCTCATTGCACTCGATCTGTAGAGGTTTCTGACAAGCACCAAACAGTATCTCTGTTCCTGATGTTGCAATGACTTCTTTCAGATAACTGGCATTCTTCCTCACCCTTTGTATACTAAAAAAAAAAAGTCTGGAATGGCAATTTTGACTGGCTTAAAATCTAACCAAATAAGTGAATATACTTTTTCCTCATTATTCTTCAGTTTTAGGATTTCTTTTTAGAAGACTTAGTGCACCAAGTGTTTGTTGCAGCACAAGTGCTTGCTGTGAGGGAACTAAAGTGAAAGGAAGAGGAGAGATTCTTGTCTTGTTTGTGTGGGAGTTTCTATTTCTGTAGTAATTACCAGAGCTTGAAGTACTTATGAGTTACGTATGTAAAATGACTATTTACACCTCTGTTTTGTGGGGAACTCAAATCTCTTGACTGCCAAACTCTCATTTCCTGCTGTCCCCAATTCCCAGCCTCTTCTAACCTCAGTCACTCCCCACAGCAGCGAGCTCTGTAGGACAGCAGAAAGCCGACTGCCACCAACTATTTGAGTCCCAAAGGAGTTTTCTTCCAGTTTGTACGCCTTTGCTGATCAAACCCCTGGTATGACAAATGACTTGCTCCAGTTGGATGAAATATAGGTATTTGGGGTAGAGTTTACTCAACTTATTCGATTAGGAAATTGTCGTCGGCGTGTGTAGTGTCTTGTGGCTCACTGGTGTAATGGGGGGGGAAGGGGAGGGTTCATAAATCTCACCAATAACATTGTCCCACAAGCTCCCAACTCTGGCTTTGTGGAGCAGGAGCGATCTGTGAAACACAGATTGGGAAAGGCTGATTTTGAAATCTATCTTCAAGGCAAAACTGGAGTCCAGTTTAGTAGTCAGCTGAGGATGGTGCTGCCCGGTGCTCACTGCTGATTCGGGAGCAGACTGACAGGTCATGACCGTGTGCTTTCACCTTCTCCTGAACAGTGCCTCGAATCCAAGAGCATTCAGGGTGGTTGTTTTACCAGAGAGTTTTTTGGTTTGGGGTTTTTTTTTTTTTCTGTCAGGTTTAGAGTTACGAAGAAAAATTGATTGCACGTTGAAGATTAATTGCTGCGGTGAGATCTTTCTGATTGTACATGACCTTAAAATAATTGTGAAATGTCATTCTTAGTAGTTACTAATTAAAGGAATATATATTAAAAAAAAAGTACTGTGATCTTATTTCACTGTTCATCAAACCATGCAAGAAAAAACGAGCTGTTGTCAAATTCCTAATTGATTAAATCTGTGCCTGATTCTTTTGGCTCATGTTGAAGAGAGATGTAATATTTTTAGGATTTAAGGAATGCTGATTAAAAGCACTTGTTTACTGTTGCAGTTAAGCCTTATGTTGATAAAGGCTTGGATTATGATAGGAAAATCCACATCCAGCCTTAATGTGTTGGAGAAGCAAATAATTATTTAGCATTCCTACCTACTGTCATAACATAATTGCAAAACTAATGGGGATGGAATGTCCTGGTCCTTGTTTTCCCACTCTAACGAGTTGCAGGTAGGTGTAGAATGGTTCAGTTTGGGTCCAGACTGACGGTTACTTTCCTGTCAGCATCACCTCAGTCTTATCTGGGCTGGACTTGCACCCTCCTTCGTGCAGTTCCTGGTGGCAGCAAATCTTGCCTCTCTTGCAGGAGGGAGAGACAAGGCTCTAATAGAATCAGCATCCTGAAAATAATTCCATCGTTCCATCTCTTCGTGTTCAGGCTGCACAAGAGGATAAATTGAGGGATTCGGTAATCACTGCACGTGATCAAGCCTGAAGAGAAGAGTCATACCTTTGAATATGCTGAGCTAGGAAAGAATAGAGCTTCTCAAGCAGCATTTTCTCCCTCTGCTTCTGTCTCTGGGCAGACCAGTGCCTCCTGCTCAGAGTTATAAAAGGCGGCTGCAGGTCTGACAGCCGGTGTCAGACACCTCATCCTCAGCAGCTGCCAGAAACTCTGTGGCTGCAAATGCAATTTCTGTTCTCTAACCTGGCCTGCACCTAAAAATGTCAAAGATCACAAAGGTACTGGGTTGTTAAGCGGTCATTGCTTTTCCTTCAGGTCTGAGGAGGGGTTAGTCATGAGGATGCACTGCAGGACTATATGAATTCACACCAGTGAGAGTGGGTCCTTTGCTCTTTGAGATTTCCTTCTGGTTATGAGTGCGGTGATTGCTTTGTATAGGCTTAATACCCTCGTACTGAGCTGAAAGCAGTATAAGCGAAAGAGAAGAAATGATTAGAGGTCGTTTGTCTTCTGATCCTGTCCTTGTCACAAGATTTTCTAGCAGCAAGGACAATTTGCTTCCTTTGTAAAATCCGCTTAGTATTTCTGATCCCTAAAGGAGTTAGAAAGCTATTTGTCAATCACTTCACAAGATGGGGAGATGCTGGACTGATTCATGCTGGTGTGTGAAGTATAATGAGGAGTAGCTGTAACAGAGCGCAAGGCAGACGGACACTCGGGTTTTGGTAGCGGGCTTCCATCTGTCTGTTAGGGTTTGCTGTGGGGTGAAAAGGATGGATCTTGTCGTTGTGGCAGGGAGCAAGGTTTTTGTTTAAGAGCATCTCTAAATGGGCTCATAAATGGTGATGTTATACTTCAAGATCCACTGAAGCATTTGTTAGTTCTTTGTTATATGAAGAAAAAAACCCCCATGATAAATTTCCAATCTCATTTAAATTTTATTAACCAAATTGCTTGTCCCAGAATATTTAGGATTTTTCCAGATAAACATCGTGGAAAAAGTCCATTAAGCCAATGTTCCTAGGAGGAAGCTGCTGTGTGGAAAGTACTAGGAAGTTTACAGACTAATTGTAGGGAGCTGTCCCTGTCATGTTAGTGTGTGACCAGCGTTTCACACAGTGGGGCTTTCATCCTGTTTGAGTCTGGTAGTCATTGCTGGGTTAAACAGATCCTCCCAGCACCATATTGTTCTCTGAATGCTTTCTGACACGTCAATATTTTTCTAATAACATAATGTCTGGGACTTCAAGCATTACTTCAGGTGTTGTCATGACCAAGCTATGGGGAGGTAGTTTCTTGCTTGCTGTCTTGCATCACTCTTACAACAGGGCAAGCCAGCCCTTCCCACTGTCACATTACTGTGCAAAAAAAGATTTGGAATTTGGTTACCTTGAATCTTTCAGCAGACCTGCACTCTGAATCTTTTCACACAAAGCATTTGAACAATTATTTAAATATTTTAGCTTCCCAATTATTATTTTTTTTAAGTTTGAAATCTATTTTACTTTCTGACTCTGATGTGATTTGTATATTAATTTCATGCAATTGTGGCAGAATGTTTTAGGTAACGTAATGCTGAAAACAACTTGATAGCTGGCTGATGCGATCTGTCCCGATCTGCAAGAATTCCCTGATATGGGCTTTAACTGTGGGTGGTTGTCATGCAAACTGCAACTTGTCCTGCTCTCTGAAGACGACATTGTCAGCATCGGTTCAGTTAAAGATGAATTGGAATGATGTTCGTGCAGTTTAAGTCCATGATTTAAACTAGACTTTGCAATGTGGAAAAGAGAAGGGTGGTCTTTAATCCTTTAGGATTGGATTTCGATTAATTTGAGATGAGCTCCTCAAAGTAAAGTGCCGTGGTGATTACGTATACTCTGCTTCGCTTACATGCCCTAGCTAGGAAGCAAAGCTCTTAATGATTTTTCATTGACGTGGTGGTCCTTTTATATTGTCCTTGAGGTTACAGAAGTTGTCCTCCTGAAATACGCTCAGTCTTAATGCTGTAATTACAAATGAGTATTTTGCTAAAATGCTTTCTTTTAACTGTGGCTTCTTACAGGTGCAGCTTGTTGGTTTGGATGAAGAGAGCTCAGAATTCATTTGCAGGAACACTTTTGATCACCCCTACCCTACCACAAAGCTAATGTGGATCCCAGACACCAAGGGAGTGTATCCAGACCTGCTGGCAACCAGTGGTGACTATCTGCGAGTGTGGAGAGTGAGTAAATCCTCCCTAGAAAAGGAGGAACTGTGATATTAGCTGTGTTGCATATTGATCTCATTTTCACTGGAGACATGACTTTTTCAAAGTGATTTATCTTCCTTTCAGGGTGTCTTGCTTTTGCTCCAGTTTGGAGGTTAAGACATAAAATCGAGGCAGAGTGCTTGATAATTTGTTTTCTTAACTGCAGGAATGTGACTAAACATGGAGACAGTAGGAGAAGCAGAGTTATCGTGGCAGTTGCTGTTTTAATCACCTTACCAAAGACAGAGATAGTAATTTTGTTTTCCTGAGCTTAAAGCTGAGAGGCAAGAAGGCCAGGATTAACAAACACCTTATGTTTTGGAAATGCAAGAGGAGCAAGTCATGTGATGTTGCTATTCAAGTCAGATGTTTCGCTTTTTCTAAAGGTGGGTGAAACAGAGACCCGGCTGGAGTGTTTGCTGAACAATAACAAGAACTCTGATTTCTGTGCTCCGCTGACATCATTTGACTGGAATGAAGTGGATCCTTACCTTCTAGGTGAGACTGACAAAATGCTATGTTTTCAGCGAGCTAGGGGACAAGTTTCTACACCATAGAAACTGAATTTGTCTTGGGTTAAAAAGAAAAAAGTGAAATTAAAAAAGTAGAGCAGCTCATGGAGCCTTTTTCTGCGTTGAGAGGTGCCATGTCCAGTGCAGAGTGGGTCACTGGGGCTGGACTGTGGGTGCTCCTTGTCTGCAGATGGGGAGTCTTAGTCTTCAGAGCTGGTGAGCTGTTGTTGCAGTGCAAATAATGATGTCTGTGAACTCCTGGGACTTATTTCGGTATGTTCTGGAGTGAATAGGAAACAATGTACCAAGCTTTAAGCTTTGTCTTCTGTGAAGCCCTCTCAGCAGCAGGGGTAAAGCCAGGAGCCTTTAATTCAGCTGGAGGAGGGGGCTGAATGCTCAAGGTTTAATTAGAGCCTGTGGGACAAATTGTGAATCCAGGATGACTGATCCAGCAGAGGTTTGTTTCCCAGAAGACTACAGCCATTTATGTCAGGGGGATTTGCCCAGAGATTAACAGCGATAATATGTCTTAGTAATTATTTACTACATGATTTATTTGTTGTGTGTTGCCTCTCTCATCTCTTAAGAGCTTTACCGCTAGCCCCACCTTCAGTCCACAGAAACAATTAATAATAATGCGCTCTCGCAGCATTGTGATTTAATTTGGGTTTTGACAAGCACATGAGACTTTACGGGGTAGGAAAGTTTATCTCGGAGTTGCATCGGGTTTCTAAATAGATTGAAGTAGACATGAGCTATTTACGTTTTATTCCCGTGTGGAAGACTTTCTGCAGCTGAAAGGTTTGGTTCATTTAAATGCGTGGTAGTCTGTTAGCTGTTTGACATTCTTGATTTTAATTGTATGCTGTCCTTGGAGCTATTTTGATCTGTTGGGGGGATATTACATTAATCCGGTAAGCGATTAAATAATTTGTGGGTGGTTTGTTTTCCAGGCACTTCTAGTATTGACACAACCTGCACTATCTGGGGTCTGGAGACAGGACAGGTTCTGGGCAGAGTAAATCTCGTCTCTGGCCATGTGAAGACGCAGCTTATTGCACATGACAAAGAGGTGATGTCTCTTTTTGATTGGTTATGTTACATGGGAGGGTTTTTAAGTGGTAGAAAAGGAACAAACTTCACTGTTTTCCAGCTTTTTCTTGAAAAATCTTGTGATCCAAAAAGATAGTTTAAGATATGCAGTTTTGTGTTCTAAACTAATTAAAACTACGCAACTGGCTATCAAAACGGCTTTGTTTACTCATAATAGAATCTGGACTTGAAAATATGCTTGTGTTACTAGATTATGCGCCAGAGTATTTTAGAAAAATGAAGTAAAGCATCAAACTGGAGTTGAAATCAACTGTATATCAAAGGCAATAAGCAACTTATAAGATTCTTTCATTTTAACATAATATTTCCTTTCAGCAATTAATATCAGTTTCCCCAGCTTAGACTTTTTATATGTTTAGTTTCAATGAATGATCCTATAATGACATAACCTTTGAAGCTTTCCCCCCTCTTTTTTGCAAGTGTAATAACTAAGAATTTGCCAGGAGCACTGAGTATTCGACAGAATACTTTCAGCTGTGTCTGCTATCTGTACGTAAAATCCTTTAGTATGAATGAGGAGGCAGCGTGCTCACTGCAACTGTGGCTGTGTTTGTCTCTGTCCTGTGCCCGAGCAGGTGTATGACATAGCGTTCAGCCGCGCAGGTGGTGGCAGAGATATGTTCGCTTCGGTTGGTGCAGATGGCTCGGTGAGGATGTTTGACCTCCGTCACCTGGAGCACAGCACCATCATTTATGAGGACCCACAGCACCATCCGTTGCTGCGCCTGTGCTGGAACAAGCAGGATCCCAATTATCTTGCTACAATGGCCATGGACGGCATGGAGGTACAGCTCATCTCCTGTCAGTGCCGGTGGTTGTGGGTTTTGGGGAGGTGCTGTGCTATCACAATTAACAGGCAGTTCTTTAAGGGAGCAGTGTCGGTACCTGAACTGGAGCAATTCTTAGTGCAGTAACTTCAG